TTGGTACCCGCTTGTAGAAAGCGCAGAAAGGACGTTCGCATCTTCGGTGGAAGGATCATTTGATCAACGATATAAAAACCACTTAGTACTACCCGCTGGAGGCAGCAAACCACTGGTCAAGTTGGCTTGCGGAGGCTACTGAAAACAACGAAAGACGACTTACGTTAGTAATCGACAACTAAGAAGATGTAGGATGTTGGATATTATGATTTAGTTATTCTACAACTTTTTTTAAAATAATCAATCAGTATTAGAAGTGATTAGAAACATAGTTAAATCTCGCAATTCACACCGTTGTAGAAGACAAACGGCGTAGTCACTGTCATGAACAGTTAAAACATGTAAATTTGTGCACGTTCGAAAAAAGATAAGATTTTAGCGATATTTATAAAACAATTTAGCCGATAAAGCAGGATTGTGTCGATCATGTGTTAGGCTAGGAGAAAATTTAAAATCTATGTGACTCATTTTCTTGTCGACATGAAAGCTTTGTCATCCCGAATCATTAGAAACTTGATCAGTTTTATAAACTTATCCGATTGTTGCACTCTCACTTAAATCGGATGCTACCACTGCGGTTTTTCGGGAATACTTCTTGTCTAAATCGTTGGTATCACAACAGATTATTATTTGTGCTCAAGTGGGTTTTGGTAAGGGACTGCTACTTTAACCTAACCTAATCTGTAGTACTAAAAATACTGTAGCACCAATCTTTAGAAGAAAATAGTCGTAATATATATATATTAATATTAAATATTTTGTTTCGATATATGGTAGTATAATATATATTTCATATATGTAATATATTGAAATCCTCCTTATTACTGCTTATTCTTATAAAAATTGCTTTATTGTATTATATTGAATTTGCAATTCTACTAGATATTGAATTTATTATATAAATAAAGTCTGTGCTTTTTAACAGTCATTTAGTTCCAAAGAAAATAAATATTTAAAACTAAAATACAATAAAATATTATACAATTGTGTATATATGTATATGTATATATGTGTACGTCTTATGTCTTTGCACTATTTCGGTTGAAACAAATCGCGTGCTGCACTGGAGGTCTTCAAAAAAGCTTACGAGTTGCTGCCTTCGAGCGAGGTTGGATCTTATTCGTTTTCTAGCGAGTTTGGCATTTGTATGAAAAACTGGGTGTGAACCGTTGGTGGAAGAGTTAAGTTGCCTCCGGTTAGAATGCGAATGAATACAGTTGAGTAAGGAAAAATATATGGAGTAATGTAAAAATTAAAAAAATCCATATATATTTGTAGCTAAAAGTTTTTTATTCCACTTTAGTCAGTGCTCTTCAGCTCTGCAGCTCTCCTGGCATTTCTTGAGTCTTGCTCTTGTTGTGGCTAATGATGTTGATGCTGTGCCTGTTGCTGTTGTTTTTATTGTTACTGTTACTGTTGTTGGTAGCCGTGGTGTA